GATTGCCCCTCTTGGGGCCATCGGGCCTCCGCGGGCGTGTGTCGGGCTGGTGTTGGACTGGTGTCAGAGCGTTTTGCTCCTAACCATTCTGTGGTGTTGGATCCTCGCTTTGAGGGGACAGCGCCCCGCGTCTCCTCGCCTCCTCCTCCCCCCCATCCCACAGGGAGCTCCACCGAAGGCCCCAGTGCCACTGTCCATATGCGTCCCCCGCATCCATGTCGGCACACCCCTCACACGTGTCGTGGCCCCATAAGGGGGCTCCACCGAAGGCCCCAGTGCCACCGTCCACGTGCGTCTTCCACGCCCATTTCGGTACACCCCTCACACGTTTCGTGGGCCGATAGGGAGCTCCACCGAAGGCCCCAGTGCCACCGTCCGCATGCGTCCTCCGCACCCCTGTCGGCACACCCCTCACACGTTTCGTGGCCCCATAAGGGGGCTCCACCGAACGCCCAGTGCCACCGTCCACATGCGTCCCCCACACCCACTGCGGCACCCCCCTCAAACGTTTCGTGGCCCCATAGGGAGCTCCACCGAAGGCTGCCACCGTCCACATGCGTGCTCCGCACCCATGTCGGCACACCCCTCACGGGGTTCGTGGGCACAGAATGAGTTCTTCCGAAGGCCCAGTGCCACCATCCACATGCGTCCCCCACACCCATGTCAACCCCCCTCGAAGAATATTCACATTTGCGGTACTTACATCCGCATTTAGTTGGGTCCTTCGCCAGGCTAATTCGTTGTTTGCTCTGCGAGGGAGAGCGGCGGCAGAAAACGGAAACTGGCACTGAAGACGGCAGGGAAGAAAAGAAACAACCTTCGACCAGAAAGCAAAGCACGGTTGCATAATGATCATCCACAGCGACGGGCCAAACAATTCAAAACAAACGGAGCCAGCGCAGCAACAGCACCGTAGTTCTTCTTTACCAAACAAGCGTTCTTAGCTGGTCAAAGGCTATATTTTAAAACCGCATCACAAACATACCCAGGGCATGTTTTCAAGAACAACCACGGTTCCCGCATCTACTTGCTGGATCGGAAAAATCCCCCGCCGAAATTCTACCGCATCTAATTGTTGGATCGGGAATTCACTCGCCTAATCCTTACCGCCTCCGAATGCTGGATCGGAAATTTCCCCGCCGCGCCCTTCCCGCATCTAAATGCTGGATCGGAAATACACCAGCCGAACCCTTCTCGCATCGAAATGCTGGATCGGAGGTTCGCCCGCCGAACCCTTACCGCATTGAAGTGCTGGATCGGGGGTTCACCTGCCGAGCTCTTCCCCTATCGTAGTGCTGTATCGGAGATTCACCCGTCGACCTTACCGCGTCTGCATCGGGAATTCACCCGCCCAACCCCATGCCGCATTGCCCTGCTCCTGGTTCCCGTGAGCGGATCGAAGGATCGACGCCGTTGTTTCTCTTGGCAGGGCGGCACGCAGAGGGGGTGGCGCGATAGGGGTGTCCGCGGTTCGGTTGGTTCGGTTGTGTCGCAGGCGTCCGCGTTCGGTGGTTTCGGCTCGGTCAGCTTTTGCGTCGTTGCCGCGTCGCTGCGTCCCTCCCGCTCGCGTTCGGTCGATTCGGGTTCGGTCGGTTCTGGTTTCGGGGTTGGATCTGCCGGCTTTCGGTCCCTGGTGCCGTTGGTGACGGTTTTGAAGAAGGTATGCGTGATGTTCTTTAGGGGACCTCCCAGCTTCTAATATTTTTAGGGGACCTCCGAGCTTCTAAGATGCCTTCTTGGAGCCTCTGGGCGTTTCTGAAAGGGCCATTGCCTTTTACGAAGCCGCCCCCATCTTAAAAGTCACGCAGTGGCGAAGCGTCCTGGCCTGCCTACAGGCCCACCAACAAATTTTCTGAACATTTTTTGAGGCTTGCACGAATCGTTCTCGGAACCTTTCTGGCCGAGACTGTTTTGTTTTGACACATGGTTGCTTTCCCGTGCAATCTTTTTTTAGCCGAGACTGGCGTTGGTTGCTTTCCCGTGCAATCTTTTTTTGCATCGCCTAGGCGGAAAGATTGAGATGTCTTGATTTCCGTATGGGACTGCCTGTCCTGGGGACCAGTGAGCAGGCAATCATGTTTTGGGGTAGTCGTATTGCGAGAGGTTCTCCGTCATTTACCAGCGTTTATGTTTGAGCCACGTGTCAGTGGTCTCTGGAGAACCCTAACATCTCATTTGATTGTAAGATCCCACTGTTCTTGACTTCGAGAGTAAAGGACTTGACAACTCCTGCGTGTGTGATCAGTGTCAGTACGGGGCCGGGTGGCGTGAACGGACTCGTTTCTTAATATGTTGATCGTTGGCATTCGATTGCAACAGGCTAGAGAAGCACTGCCGGTGTCGTTGGGGTCTCTCCTCAAGGGCGGGCACGTCGCTTTTTTCACTTGCAAGGTAACGCCCCCTCGGTTTTCAAATGGGCCGCCCTGACAGCCGCATCGCATCGCTCGTCATCTCGGGACTTGCCTTGGTGCTCGCTAGCCGAGTCGCAGCGGAAACATGGTGCGAACCGGGGTGACAGCTCGCATTCTGAGCCATCACGCAGTTGTTGAAGTTCAGCAACACGGTCGTAACGAAGTTGTTGAAATTACAGTGAGTTGTCTGAAGTCATGAGGGTGCGTGCGCGCACATGTTCGTGGAACATCGTAGTTGTTGCTTCATTCTACCTCGTTTCTCACCCCCTCCGCGCTAGGCTTCATCAAATCGATCGGCCCACCAACTATCACCCTGTGTCTTGTTGCGTTTTCTCATTCATCCTTCCGACTGCTTTAGTCGCGACAACAGCTTGCATGATGTGCCACAGCGCTGCTGGCCGAGATCTGAAGTATGATCAGCACCTCAGGATTGAACTGCACATGTCGCAGGCCTAGAGGTTGACACCAACACCAATATCGGCGGTGTGCCTCCACCGAGGGAAGATGATCCCGATCTCGGTGATGGTGGTAATGCTATGGCTTCCAAGGTGACCGAAGTATTACCACCAACACCGACATCGAGGATCATCTTCCCCCTGTGGAGGCAACACCCTGTGTTGGTGTTGGTGCCCATCTCCAGGCCTCCCAACATGGACTCCCGGTTCCCCTCGTCCGCTTCGTGCTCGCTCCCGTCTCCCTCCTCCTCCTCCTCCTCCTCATCCTCCTTCTCCCGGCTCCTCCTCCCCCTCCTCCTCCTCCTCCTCCTCCTCCTCCTCCTCCTCCTCCTCCTCCTCCTCCCCCTCCGTCTGCTTGCGGGCGCGGGGGGGTGCTCGGGAGCCCAGGCTCCGAGGTGGCGCAGCGGCGCTCTGGCACGGCCGGAGCGGCCGCCCGCGCGAGGCCGGAGAGGCTCGAGGTCCCCCGTCCGGGCCAGGGGCGCCAGGCTGGCGAGGGGACGCACGCTTGCGCGTGGTGTGTGTTTTGCGTGCTCTCTCTCTCTCTCTCTCTCTCGTCAGTATCGTTGAACCGATCCCCATCCCCATCCCCTTCGAGACCTCCCACCAAATTGGCACCCCAGTCGGGGATGCACCCCTCGAGACCCGAAGGGAACGGCCTATATCCCCATCTAGGGGGGGAAATTGCCCAGTGGGGCCCAGGCCACGCTGGTGGGGATGGGGATCGGACAAACGATACTCATCTCGTCGGTTTCGGTGGCAGATCATGGGAGCCTGGTATACAGTGGAGGCCCACGCCAAGAAACACCCTCCTTGCCTCCAGGGTGCCCTGGGTTTCTTGGATCTCGAGCGTCTTGCCATGGAGAGCGTGGCGCTCCCACACCACACATCGATGGACGCCCTGGGGTCTCAGGGTTGGGTTTCTCGTGGTCGGGCCCTTACGGTACCCTCTCAAATCCGTCTGTAGCGTCGCTGAGCGTCTAGAGTCGATGCGACGGCGCCGATTCGGCGTTGGCTGGCGTCGAAGAGCGCCCACATTGGCGTCGATCTGGCGCCGATCCGCGTCGATTCGCGCGAGCCGACGAGATGGTATGGGAGGCGCCCGCGAGCTGCCACCGAAGCCGGGGAACGTCGGCTGACCGCCTCGGCGAGGAGGGAGGAGGGAGGAGGGAGGAGGGAGGAGGAGGAGGAGGGAGGAGGAGGAGGAGGAGGGGAGGAGGAGGGAGGAGGAGGAGGAGGAGAGGAGGAGGAGGAGGGGAGGAGGGAGGAGGGAGGAGGGAGGAGGAGGGAGGAGGGAGGGGGGAGGGGGAGGAGGGAGGATGGCGAGGCCCAGCCTGGGCCAGGGGGGCGGTGCGGCGCGCCCCCCTCCCGGCTCGGTCGGGGAGAGGCACGTGCGCGGGTGCTCCCTGGGTCCGGGATCGGCCCCGCCGGGATCGGCGAGGAGGCCAGGCTTGAGCCCTTCGGGGGTGGACAGACCTCCCACCCTGACACGTCGATTAGTGAATTGGCCGCTTTCGAGGGCGTCGGTGCGGCGCGCCCCCCCGGCTCGGTCGGGGAGGCACCGTGCGCGGGTCCTGGGCCCGACATCGGCCCCGCCAGGATCGGCGAGGAGGCCAGGCTTAAGCTCTACAGGAGGAGGGTTCAAGAATACAGTCGGGGCGCTGAAGAAGGAGCCCTTCTCGTTTGGGAGGGGCTCCGTGGTCCTTGATTCTTTCACAGTTTGCCTTCTGTTTTCCGTAGGTTTCCGATGGGAAATCGAAGTTTAACTCATGGAAGAAAGGGGCCTCGTTCCTGATTTAGGGTTCCTTAGGTCAACGCCCCGACTCTAGCTCCAACATGGTAAAGCATGGTCTGGTGACGTGTTGGTTGCTGCTGTTTTGGGGGGTCGTCGTGTGTCCAGCTGCTTTTTGAGCATAGGTTTGTCCATCTTCTATGGTTCTTCAGCATCCGCCTCTGGGAGGACATGCCCGACCCAAGGCCAGGGCAAGTCCCCCGATCTCTCTCCCCCCCTCTATCTCGCCCTCGTCGTCTTTTAGTAAGTTTGCCCAGGCACTGATCGCGAGCTCCCCCATCGCCGCAGGAGGGCGAGGCCGTGGGATCCGCCAGAGGGTCCGTGGCGACGAGCCGGCGCGGTTCCATGATGGAGGACGATGTTCCGTCGCGCAGCCGCCGCCGCCGCCGTGTCGTCTGGGGCTGCAGCGCTGGGCGTCCTGACAAGCAGCACGGCAGGCTCGCGTCGTGTGTCGACGAGGCGGCAACCTCAGCACGGACGTTCAAGGTTGAATGCCGCCAGTGGCCCAGAGTCCGCCGATACGGAACGCTTCCGCGCGGTCGGGAAGCCGTTATTGTTCAAGGTGGAACGATCCACGCGGTGCCAGAATCCAACGAGGGGTGTATCACGACACGGCGGGGGACCGTGCATGTTCTGTGAATGGTTGTTTTTTTCCTCTACCCCACGCGAGCTCGGCGTGGGCCTTGTGCGGAGCTTGTGCGGACTCGACGCGGGCTCGTTGCGAGGAAGAGCAGGGGCAGACGGAAAGAAGGAGGGGAGGCCGGAGCAATGAGAGGGAGGACGAGGAGGAGGGGGGACGAGGGGAGTGGGGAAGAAGAGGAAGAGGAGGGAGGGGGGAGGCGGAAGGAGGATGAGGAAGAAAAGGAAACAGGAGGAGTGGGGCCCACTCAGTGGGCTCCCACTCTTCGTATTGCTGCTCCCGCTGCTCCTCCTCCGTGCTCTCCCCTCCCTCCCCCCGCCCGCCCGCGCGCGCGCGGGCGGGCGGGCGGGAGCAGAAAAGAGGAAGAGGAGGAGGAGGAGGAGGAGGAGGAGCAGGATTAGCCTCTTGATATTTAAGACAGGCCAGCCTGCTGCTGTGCCATACCCAAAGTCAACACGTTGGCGCTACCAGCATGTACTGTGCCACACTGCGGCTTCGCACTAATGCAGGACTTTCTGGATGGTGGGAGGGGCAGCACTCGGAGCCACTATTTTATCGCAATGTTACTCTAACCCATTTTGCCTCGCCACTCTGTCTTACAATGGCCGCATTATTGCAGCATTGTTCGCATCTCCAGCCGCGCACGCGCGCGACTATGCTCTCCGACGGTCCAAGGCCAGGCAGCGCCGGCGCAACAGCATGGACTCGAGGGGGATGGTTTGGGGTTAGAGGCTGTTGATCTGAGGGTGGGAGGAGGTGCGAAGGAGATTCAGGAGGGAAGAAAAACACACAGACTCAATTAATCCTCGATTCCCCAGAAAATATGGGAAAATATGGGAAGTGGGGGGGAAGACAAAGACTCAGAAAATATAGGAAAATATGGGGAATCCTTTTATTTGTGTGTATTTATTTGTGTGTCCTGGGGCCCCCTTCGAGATTCAAAGGTTCCCCTTCATTTTGGGACCCCCTGGTTTACAGGGCGTGGTCCCACTTACGCACACACTCACAGGCGCGACCCTAGCAGTCGTCGCGGCCAGCTTGTTCTACTCTGGTCTCCAGACTGTTAGCGTCACTTGTACCTTCCTCTAAAGCATACTCCACAGCAGCCCGCAGTCGCAGACACCGTAGTCTGAGAAAACAAGAGGCCAGCCTTTTACAGCGCCAGCCTTCTTATCGCAGTCCTCGCAAGCATTACTCCGCTCGTTCAAGTTTAATTCTAGACGATACAACCCTGACTAGCCAGGAACGCTGTGCTGACTACTGGACGGGGAAGGTAGGCGGGTGATGGGGGAAGTCGTGCATTCAAGCGCGACCCTAGCGGGTGGCGCGCCAACCTTGTACAGCTTTACAATCACGCTCTCTCACTAAGATCGCCAATTTTACCTCCTTTGCCAATGTGCACCGCCTGTTGTTTTTGCCTTTCTCGCGCTGCACGTCTATCTCGACCTCTCCTCGTTCGGTATCCTCCTTAGCATGTGGCATCAACGGTACTGGCATGGTGTCTTTCCCCGCTCCGCCGGCCTGGCGGGCGTACTCTCTATGGCCGATCGGCCCTTGTGCCCGTTTCGCTGCTCTTCGCCTCTCGCTTACAGCGGCGCCCGCCAAGCCCAATTCTGTGGCTCTTCGCCCGGGCCGGCATTTTCTCTGTGCCACACTTAGAGAGCAACGGTATCCGATCCATGCCTCGGCAACGTCATCCAGGAAGAGGAGGAGGAGCAGGAGGAGGAGGAGGAGCAGGAGGAGGAGGAGGAGGAGCTGGTGGCACTCTATTTTTTCAGTTCTCTATGTATGTTCGTTTCCGAAGGAGCAAGAGCTTCAGCATCGAACGCGGTGTCAAACAAGGCGACCCACGTATCTCTTACCCCCTCAAAGCCCTGCTGGGTCACGTGCTCCGTTAATTCAAACCAACTTGGGAACGAAAGGGGTTTGGCATTCAGCTGGGGCACACATAGCTCACGCTTCTGACGAATCTACGATTTTCTGACGGCGTGTCCTTACTTGAGACCATCTACGCCACTGCAAATGCATTCCGCGCGACCTGGAACGCACAGCCGCGAAGTGCGGGCCCTGACACGACTAGAATTCGCACGAACGTTAGCAGGAGACACAGACAATCGGCGAGTCATGCCGACATTAAAAGCTGGAGAGGCCATTAAGTATTTGGGACGGAAGCTGACGCTCTACGACTACCACCAATTTGCGCTTACCAACATAATTGCCATGGGACGGGGCGCGTTCTACAAGCTCCGTGACGAATTATCGAGCAGTCGATATCCTCCCCATAACAGACTAAGACAGTTCAGCGGTACGGTGGTACCTACTGTCATGTGCGGCTGCACTTCGTGGGCTCTCACCAAGGACATGCTTTCAGCACCTGAGACGCACCTGGCGACGTATGTTACGACTCATTGTGAGCAACCGCAGACGACGAGCGAAAAACCAGATCACACCAACCGACGACATGACAAGCACCGACACAGAGCAACCCGACGACGGACCACTTCGACGATGCCAACGACGGCTCCGATCTCGAACTGTGGGAGGGCTTTATACACACCGCCCACCAAACCACTCCAACGAAACCCGAAGGCCCCGATTTGCCCTCCACTTCCAGTGGCGGGGTCGGGGAACATTGAAAAAAAAAACATGGAGCCCGCACCCCCCCAACCCGAAATTCGGGACCTCGTGTTGGGCTGGGGTGGTCTGGCAGGTGGTCAACTGTATACGCAAAGCGGCCCATGCAGCTGCTGAGCGGGCAACACGGTCTCATGTGGACGATTGGGCGACGCTGTACCACACATGGACTTTGCGAGGGGCAAGACGGATAGCAGCGCGACCCTGTCAGATGTGGACACGGCTCGCTGCAGCCCGGAAGCCTCACGCCCACGACGACCCTTGTCCCGTTTGCCACACACACACACGGTGGACAGCGACAGCGCTGGAGCGACGACACCACGCAGCTCAGGCACTGCAGCACCGCTGGGCATACCACGACGAGTTGAGTGGAAGTTGCGACTGACACGGTGTTCTGGCATTCGCTGGAGCACTATTTCGTTGCCTGCTCCAGCGTCTAGCCACTGCGGGCCCCGGCCCGCCCGCGCCGGTCCTTCGGGCCACGCCGGCCACCGGCCGGCGGACACGCGCGCCTCGCCTCGCGTTTCGCCTAGTTGTAGTTCCTCTGCCGCACGGACTTGCCTCCTAATTCGCTTCATTTTGTCTAGCGCTGCGTTACGTCGGTATTTTTTCTTCGCACCATGTGCCCACGTGCGGGCTAACGTCAAAACGGAGGAGCGGGTGGAGGTCGATGACCCTGTTGATGATGATGCTGATGATGATGACGATGAAGATAATGATGAGGATGTTGTCGCTGATGGTGTTGATGGTGCCGATGCTGGTGCTGAAGCTGAATATGTTGATTCGGAGGACGACGATGCCGATGACGACGATGATGACCATGACGATGATGAGGATGAAGATGACGGTGGTGGTAGTGGTTACGATGGTGGTGGTGATGGTGATGTTGATGATGATGGCGACGATGATGATGATGATTATGATGATGATGCTGATGATGATAACGATTATGAGTATGATCCCGATTCCGATAATGACCATGGTGAAGTGCCTCACTTTGCCCTCCATGTGCCCTCCATTTCCAGTGTGGGGGGGTCGGGGAACATTGAAAAACACATATGTGGAGCCTGGACCCCCCCAACCCGAAACTCGTATCGTCGGGTGGGTTGCGGTGGTTTTGTACGATGTCAGGGAGGGCCATCAAGTGGGCCCCGAGAGGACCCCCCAGAGACACACACACACACCACGTGGTATGTTTTTTCGTTGCGGGGAGTCTTTGTTCACTCTTGGGGCCGTCTGGCAGATCCAAGAACATGTCCGCTGGGGCCCACGGTGTTCCCAAGAGGCCATCAACAAAATAGTTCAGTCAGAGGCACGCAACAATGTGATCATTTTCTTATTCATTGTTTTGCCGATCGGCGCGGGCCCTCGCACCCCCTCCCTCCCCCCCCATGGAGGAGATCTTGGCAATTTTTGGCGCCTGTTTCAAGCAGGTGGGGTCTCCCCAATAGGACGTACTGTTACAAACAGTCGCGCTAAGCAGAGCTCCGGAGCCAGATCCCCTCCCTCCACCCCCCCTTCCGCCCAATGTCGAAACGCCGAATCAGAAAACGTTCACCATCAACACTCTATGCATCTTTCTTGGCGGGCCTCTGGTTTACGCTCTTGGGCCGCCTTGGAAAGGACAAAAAGAGAGAACGAGCAGGAGGACGAAGGGGAAAGACGGTGAGGGGGAGGAGGCGGAGGAGGAGGAGGAGGAGGCGGGGTGAATGAGCAGGAGGAGGAGGAGTAGGAGGAGGAGGAGGAGGAGGAGGACGTCCTTTTGCTCCAGGCGCTCCGAGGAGGGAGGAGGAGCGAGGAGGATGACCCAGACCTCCGACGTCCTAATAGCAAATCCCGGCTGCAGCTTTTGTTTGTTAGTTTGGCGTCCGGGGCCCGGGACCACAGTGTGAAGAGACAGCGCTGGGCGTTATACCTGACATGTTTCGGCTTGTCTCGTGAGAAGACATGACGTCGGAGGTCTGGGGAGGAGGTCGAGGGGCAGGAAGGAGAAGGAGAGTGAGGAGGAGAGGAGCAGGAGGTGGGGGAGAGACCGCTGTTCTGGTGCCCTCGACGGAAAGGCGGGGTCGCGTAGAGGGTCGGGGGG